CACATTTCTGTAGCTGCTAATGCCACAGAACAGCGGAAATGACAAGAAGCCTCAGACACAGGACAAAAAGAATCAAAGAATACTAACTTCTGCCTGAAGGAAAGAAGACAACAGGAAAACCAGTATTTACTACAGAAGTTCTAATAGCCGATCTCTGCTAACCAAGTGGGCAGACTACACAACGCTCTCCATTTCTCCTGTAAATCATCAGAACTGCTGTCCACGTTGTCCCGAATGCTGAGACGAATGGGCTAGTCTGTAGAATGTTCATTAGCCAATTTATTTGCTTATCAAGGAGTCAGCAGTGTTTGTGTCCAGACTGGTTTATGCTAGTAAAATGTGTTATTGTAATTATGTAATTTAATTAACTTTCCGTAAACTAATTAAAATATGAGTGCAAAAAGAGTTATTGTTGCTGAGAAAACTAAGTGGAATGCTTGGGAAAGACCCAAGACTCAAATCTGCTTAAAAATGCTGTGTGGTTAGTATCAGTGAGACAAACATAAGAGACTAGAATACATAACAAAAATCTAGAAAGATCCTGCAGCCAGATTACTTCTCAAACATCAAAGTTCTTATTTCATTTTAAATAAAGATGGAATTTATCGGTGATACATTATAGGAGAGCTTTGTGCAAGTAAAATGACAATCTTTAATCAGAAAAAGATTTTGACCCTATATCAAAACATTAGCAAATAAATATATATGTATATCTTTTAAATTAAAATATATGTTTTTAATGGCTGTTCCTTTCTTCAACCAACTTTTCCAATTAATCGATCAACAAATTAGTTGTCCCCATTGTCCTGGATATGAGACCATCTACTGTATATTGAGATCGGCCCTTTCTCATACCTTTTCTCCCCTTTTTCCTAAAACTGAACAGCTATGATATGCCCAATATGGTGTTACTGCAGAGTTGTATTTCTCAGAGTTGTATACAGTCTCAGAATTGTTCCTCAAAGCAACATGAAAATAAGAGTGACTTAAAGTGATCACATACATTTGGGGAAAGTGTCAAACCATAGACCCTCTTGCAAATTCACAATGCCCCTAGGACACTAAGAATAAATAAGCTAAATGTTGTGTAATTCAGATTTTCCCAAACCTATCTCACCATGGAACGCTTTCTTAGGAGCAACACCTACAACATCCTGAAAAGGTACACACTTTGGGAATCAATGCTTTAGGGCACAGAAGAGGTATAATGTATGATCCCTATTCTTGAGCTACTTATGTTGACTCAGAGATATAAGACAGGTAGATCTGACACACACACATACACAGAACAGGTAAGTAACAGTATTAGTCAGTATATTTTTAGAGTCAAATGATGGTAAAATCAGTAGGTGTAATAGATCAGAACAACAGATCAGCCATCCACCTCTGACTAATTTTCACAAATTTTGGGCCTTAGCCTCAAAAATTTGCTCTTTTCATCCACTGTTCTAGAAAGTTCAAAGGGAACTCACATTTCTTAAGTGTGACTATATGCCAGGCTTGGCTATTTATACATGTTATCTCATTTAATTTTCACCACCATGGGAAATGGGTACTATCTTTTTTCAAAGAAACAGAGTGATCACACAGCTAGTGGGAGAGCCTCAATTCACACCTCTGTCTGTCTGGCTTCAAAGCCTGTCTTCTTTCCACTGAGCCCTGTTACCAAGAGCCTCCATAGCCTCTTTTCTGAGCTGGGGGTCGTGGGTGTGTGCTCCCACCTGTTTCTGGGGAGCCATGCCGATCCATGGCCCAGCCTCAGCCTGCAGAGGACAGCTGTGCTATGCTGTAACCCTAGAGGCCAGACTTCTCCCCATCCTCTTCCTCCTCCTCATCCAGAAGTTCTCAGTTCTGACTTTAAAGGCCCAGGGGTCACCCCCTTGGCCTCTCCTGATGGCCACTGTGAGGGAGGCATTAGCTGGGGGAGGACTTTGCCAATGTGAAGTGCTTTAGTAATAGTATCTGCACTGAGTGCGCTCTGAGCTGGAGACGGTCCAAGGGGTGGGCGGGTGCAGGCAGTCTTACTCATGCTTTTCAGCAAGGCTTCTCCATTGTGCCAGGTCCTTTTTGTAGGGCTGTTCTGGGTCCTTTCTCCCCTTGTGCTTTGTGCTCAGCTACTACCCCCCTCTCTTCTCCACTTCTGTCTTCCTCTGCTCTCCCAAGTCCGGCTGGAAGTGGCCATGGCAGCAGGAAGGGGGCGAGAGGGCAGGATGTGAACTGAGGTCCAAGGTCCCAGGTGAGCCACGGCCAGGAGGGACCCATAGGGTGACCCTCCAGTCTCGGGCTGAAGACTTACATCAGGGTGAGTTGCAGACAGGGAGTGAAAGGTAGCTGAGGAGGGAGCCTACAGGATGGGTGATGGGAGTGAGGGAGGGGGTGCTGGTCTGGACGCCCAGCTCCTGGGAGGGAGAATTTGTCTTGCAGCCTGCTCTCCCTCCTATCCTTGCCTTTTCTCCCCTCAGACGTGAGGTTGTAGGTCTGTTCACATGTCTTCAAAACTGCACGGGGGTGGGAGGCGAGGGAGGAAGGACTGGGAACTAACATTTATCAAGCACCTCAGTGTGCCAAGGTCTTTGCAATCATTTCATTGCTTCATCATAATCTTCACAAGAGGCGAGTGTGGCCAAGTTACAGAGTAAGAGGTCACACCCAGGTTTCAACCCAGGTTTGGATGCCTCAAAAGCTCATGAACTTTCTGCCACGCCCACGGCCCTGCGGCTATACATCACCACACCACAATGCATGGAGCCGGCTCTAGATTTGTGGCTGGAAGAAGGGATGGGTGTAGGCTGGGCTGCCCCCAACTAGGGTGTGACAGGTCAGTGCTTAGAGATGGATCATCCCCAGGGAGCCCCTCTTTCCATGGTTGGGGCTGGGAGCTGCAGCACAGACACTCACAGGGCCATTGGGCCCATCAGATCCCATAGGCTCTTTGACAGTGTGGGTTTGTTTTTGTTTTTTTTTTGAGGAAGATTAGCCCGGAGCTAACATCTGTCACCAATCCTCCCTCTTTTTTTGCTGAGGAAGACTGGCCCTGAGCTAACATCCATGCCCATCTTCCTCTACTTTATATGTGGGACGCCTACCACAGCATGGCTTGATAAGTGGTGCACAGGTCCACACCTTGGAACCAAACTGGCAAACCCCGGGCTGCCAAAGGAGAACTGTGAACTTAACTTAATCACTGCGCCACCAGGCCGGCCACTGACAGTGTGTTTCAAAAAACCAGAACAGGCAGGAAAGCCGGGCATCCCCACCACGAGCTGCTTCCTGAGGCCTGAGGCTGGCCCTGGCCCCCTGGCTCCATCACTAGGCTCTGTGAGTCTCTCCAACCTTCTCTGCTCACCTTAACCCTCAGCCTTCCAGCCTCTTCTCTCCAAATTAGGTCAATGTTTGCTCCCTAGGAAACGCTCTCAAAATGAGCTTTCTCAGCAAAGCATGGGGTGGCCCAAGTGCCTATAGTGGCTGGGTGGATACCCATGGGGAGATGCAGAGCTCTGGCCCCACATCTATCACCACACGGTGATCTGCAGAGCAGTCCACTGGGTGGACAGGCCCAGCGCTTCCAGGACAGAGTCCCTAAGATCCTGAAATCTGAGGCTGGCCTGGTGGCACAGCAGTTAAGTTCGAATGTTCTGCTTTGGCGGCCCGGGGTCTGCCGGTTTGGATCCTGGGTGCGGACATGGCACCGCTCATTAAGCCATGCTGTGGTAGGCATCCCACATATAAAGTACAGGAAGATGGGCATGGATGTGAGCTCAGGGCCAGCCTCCCTCAGCAAAAAGAGGATTGGCAGCAGATGTTAGCTCAGGGCTGATCTTACCCCCCACCAAAAAAAAATGATCCTGAAATCTGAGAACACTGCCTAAGCCTAGGCTCCATGGCTTCCAGAAGCACTCCTATTTCAAATAAAGGGTTGTTGATTGACAGATTGATTAATTAATTTCCATGATCCATCTGATTTCTCTCTGAAGAAAGAGTTGCCCTTACTCCTGCCCTTCCCTACACTTTGCAGGCCAATATGTCTATAGTCCTGACTGTTTGTCTTATGCCTGTCTGTCTAGGTACTGCCGGGCCAGGCCCAGGGCTTGCAGACTGCTCTGTGCTCACTGAATCTACCTCCCCACCTTGACGCGCGCACGTCCACTTGCACACGCACATGCACACACACACAATCAGCCTGGACACAGAGTCACTGCCTTTCTTGATTGCTATGGCCCTTGAATGGTGCTGAGGGACTACAGTTTTGAAGTCACTCCTGACATTCAACTGCAGGCCTATCTGTTGCAACTAACACTGCACATAACCACACAACCCCCCCACGTTGGGTGCACACAGCAGGCACTTTAGAAACACTACCTTGAAAACCAAACCCTTGGTCACCGTTTAACAAAAGCAGTCATGGAGCCTTATGAAAGCAAATGCTCTGCGTCACAGAGCTGGTTATGTGAGGAAGCCGGGATTTCAGCCTGGGCTGCCCCTCCAGAGACAACTGCGCTCGCCTGGCTGCTCTCATCAGAGGGAAAGGGACACACGCCTCTGCTTCCCTCAGTGGGATGACTCTGGGAAACAGAAGAGTCCTGGCCGAGAATCAACATTTTCCTCTCCAGGAGAAGGGCATGGGTGAGCATGGCTGCCTGCAGGAGGGGTTCTAGACCAGTAAACACGACCCCAGCCCCACGGAATCTCACTCTGTCATGAAACTGTACACTTGCTCAGTACTTCACTCTCTTCAGAATATGTCTGTCCCCATTCCCTCATTTGATGTCACACTTTTTTTGAGGCAGCAGCTGCAGCAAGCACTAGAGAGAGTCTCCCAGCTTTGGGTTCCATTTTGGCCTCCCCTGTGACCTGGCCTCTGGAAGATGACACCTCTATCCGAAAGCCTCTCTCTGAGGCCACGCCCTCTGTAGATCTGGGGATGACAGCAGAGTCTGGTGTCCAAGGGGTTATTCATACCCCTTGCTGCAACTTCACACCCCCGGTACACACACACTCACCATGAGATGCTGGAAGAGCCAAGAACGCATTATATTGGTGGCATGCTTGGGCAAGACTCCTCGTTTGTTCTTGGACTTCTTATCCTCATTGTCCAGGAGGGAGGTGAGGTCAAGGTTAACCTTCAGGGCACGTGGAGAAAAAATCAGCATCAGCAGCCTGGCGGGCCAGCAACTAGGGACCTGTTGCCATAGTGACGGCAGGCTCCCGGCTGCCAACCCCCATTCCCAACTCACTATTAGGGCCCTGGGGAGGTCACCTTTCCCATCACCCCGCACCAGCCCCTCAGAGAATGGGAGAAGGGACGAAGGAGGAGCAGGAGGGGAGAGGGAGAAGGAGGTGAGAGAGGAGACAGGGTCATTCAGAGGTATAGGGGAGACAAATTTGCCATAAACCATCCAATAGTTCTCAGCATTTCTAGGGTACTTTAAAGTTTGCAGAGCACTTTCCTATCCTTCACCATGGTTAGTCCTCAGCAGCTCTGAAGGGTGGTAGGGCTGTGTGCAGTGGGTGTTAATCCCCTTCTATAGATAAGAGCTTGGAGGCTCAGAGAGGTTAAGTGACTTATCTAAGATGACTGAGTTAATGTCAGATCTCAGGCCTCTGACTTCACATCTTCTTACTCCCCCCACTGTGTGTGCACTCTGTCCCACTGAGCTACACAGTGGCTCAGAGTGGAGACCAGGAATAGGACGTGCAGGACCCTTTGATGTGACCCTGGGAGGCAGCAAAATCCCAGAAGTTGATAAAACCTTTCCAACACCCAGCTTCTTATCTGCGAAGAGGGGGTAACGATACCTCTTGGAGGAATAACGAGGATTAAATGGGTTACTTGTGTAAAGTGCCTCGTGGATTATGAGCAATTATGGTTGCCCTCCCCCACGCCCATGCACACACAGCTATACACACACTCACCTGTGTGTTCTGGATCTGGATGGCTCCCTGGGGGATTGCTTGGGTGACCACCTGACCCTGGGAGGTTACCATGGTAACTGGCTGGTATAAAGCTCCACCTGAGGAGACAACCAGTTTTTGGGTCCCTGCCATGGGGGTGGGTAGGAGTGAGGGCAAGCAGGGTTCCCAATTCACTTGGCACTCATGTGTAAACTCCCTCTACTCTGGAGAGATCCAGCTCCTGCAGGGGAGGGGTGGGCTGGGGAATGGGGTCCAGAGAGCAGAGCTTCTGGTGAGAGGAGTCTGGGGGAAGGGACAACAGCCTGACTTGGTCTTTGAGGGGCTCATGAGACTTTGACCTAAATTTGTTCCAAACCGTCACAATCAGGTCTTGGTGCTAATTATCTACAGACTTACAGAACGCTTTAGTCAAGAAACTCAGCTGGAGGCCCCTCCCTCGGCTGGGGCACTCCCTCCCATTTCCTAGAATGGTTTGTGCAGTACCCTGTTCCCCAACCCTGGAGTCCCCTCGGGGCCACCCTTTTCCTCCCAGGGCTGTTCCCCACAATCCCCTGCACCGACCTGACACCACTTGTGAGTTGACGGTTGTCATGGCGATGTTGCCCTGCTGGAGCGCTGAGGCTGGGACCACAATCCCTTGGGGGTTATTGGAGACTCCAGACATGGAATTGGGGGAATTCTGCAGGAGGTCCTGGCAGTAAGGGAGGTGTGGTTTGTGACAATGTCACTAACAGCTTAGATGCCACAGCCCCAAATTGCTCCTCGCCCCTTCCCCTTTCCTGCCTTCCCTCCTTCCTCCTTCCTGCTCCTCCCCAGACCAGAATCAGAAAGGCAATTCTCATGGCTTCCTAGAAACAGTGAATAAGAAGCCTCAATATTAAAAACAACCAACCAACCAACAATAGTCATCCATTTAGCCATTCCATTCCCCTGCAAACCTGAGACGTAAATTTATCCCATAAACCAGTGGTCTCCACCTTGGCTTTAGTTTGGAATTTCCAATATGGATGCCTGGGTTCCAACCCCAGAGATTTTAATTTAATTGGTCAGGGGTGTGGGCGGGGCTTTGGGGGTAAACTCTCCACAGTTGATGCAAATGTGTGGCCGGGGCTGAGAGCCAGGCTTGCCTGCTCAGCACCTATTGTCCTTCACACTCCATTGTCTCCAGATGCCTTCCCCGACCCCACAGCCTCTCATGTTTTACTTTGTATCCCTGGCACCCAGCTCAGTGCCTGGCCCATAGTGATTACTAAAATATTTGTTAAATAAAAAAAATAGCTGCCCCAGCTTCTTCACAACCTTCTTCTAAGAGTATCTCACGTGAGCCTCAACCTCAGCCACCCTTCGGCACATCTCATCAGAGAGCTGGGAGCTCTGCCTCGGGCTCCCAGCACAGAATCCCAGTGCGGACAGTCTCCCTCTGTCCCATATTGTCAACCTGCCAGTGCCCATTTTTCTAGGAGACAACCTTTGCCATTTGTTTTTGCAGAAGCCAAAGCTGAGAAGATCATGTTTTCCGGCACCTCGCTGGCCTCATCACTGCTGTTTAACAGCTGGGCAGAGCAGAGTTTGGACCTGATGTTGAGGGCCCCGGCATGCAGGGTGGGAGGCTTGGCCACAGGCCTCCAAGAAGAGGCAGGGAGCCCTCCCTGCTCGGCGGCTGGGCGCTCGGGAGTGTGTGAGGGAGGAACGGGGTGTGTGAGAGGTTGGGGTCTCTAGGCTTTATTTGGAGAAAACAGGACAGGTGGCGAATGAGGTGTAGTGGAAGGAGCTTCAGGAGACCTGCCTGGGTCTCTTGGCTCCTGCAACCACAGTTCTTCATCTGAAAACAGGGTTTGAACCAGGTCACCTGTGCCATGGCCATCTAGGGCCCACACTCCCATGCTCAAAGCCTGGAATCAGAAGGCATGAGCTGTAAGGGTTTAGACAGGTCCACAGTCAAGAAAATAGACTAAACTGGGGGAAAAGAAGGCACCCAACTTCCCAGCTTTTGTTTTAGGATGGGGAGAAGCTTGAGTCTTCAGCCTCCAGGGAAGGTCTGGAGTGTGGAGTGAGGAGAAACGTGTGTTTGGAGGAAAACTTGAGCCAACGACTGCCTACTGTAGCAAGGGACAAAGGAAACCATCAAAGGCCCAGGGACAGTCGCGGTGTCACCTCCCAGACCCCAGCACCCTGGAAACTGGCAGAGCCTCTCAGGAAGTGGTAGCACTGATTTATATGTCTCACTCGATTTAGCCAATTAAAACCCCATTGGCGTCTCCCCCCAGGCTGCCTTTTTTACCCTCCAGGACTGTCCCTGGCCCCAGGGCTGGAGGGGCATCGCCTATAAATAAGCAGCACCCAGAGAACTGGAGTCGCTCTCCCTCCTCTGCCTGGCTGCCTGGGCCTCTGTGGCCGGCTTGCTGGTGGGTGGGGCCAGAGGAGGCCTCGCTTCTATTCTTGGCTCACCTCTGCTGCTCTGACCTTGGGGAGGGAGAGGGTGGCTCTTGCCTTCCCCTTTCTGGGACTCTGTGAGAGCCTCTCAGCCGGTGAGGTTTATTCTCTGAGCAAACTCTGGGCCTTCCTCTTATGCAGTTCCAGTCTACACTGAGTCTGACTTGGAGAAGCCTGGAAACTGGAAGGGCCCTTAAAAGCCACATATTCCAACTTCCTGAGGTACAAATAAGGAGCTGAGGCTTAGTGACCTGCCCAAGGTCCCCCCGCTGGTTAGCAGCACCAGGACTAGAACACAGCCCTGCTTTCTCCACAAATGGTGAACCACCACCTTGTGCCAAGAACTGGGCTGCAAGGTGCTCCTTGAATCTCAGAGGCTCAGTAATAATTATTGAAGGCAAGGTGAACAGATGCAACAACTAAAACCCAGAGGTACAGAGGCATCATGGGCACTGGAGGGAAGATGATCAATTTGAGAATCAGCAGGTCGTGGTCCTTCTGTGGGTCTCAGTCTCCTTATTTATAAAATGTGTCTGGCTCCGTGCTGACATCCAGAGCCCTCAAAGCCTGAGCTTTCCAGCCTTGAGTCTCCTCCAAGTTTGAGCTCCCCGTGTCCCAACCTCCCAGCCAACCATTCTCCGAGGATGCAAACCAGCAGCGAGGTTATGTGAAGTTGAAGCAGCCTTGGAAGGTAAATTAATAGAGGAGGGGGCCCCTCCATGCCGCTCACCCTAAAACTAATGGCAATGACTTTTCAATAATGTCTGGTTTGGAATCATCCATGTGCTCCTCATTGGGTGAGGGTGTTTGGGAATTTCAAACACAAAAAGTTGTTCCAGACTTTCTTCCCCCACCAGAAAAAGTATCCAGCAAGGTTAGGCAAACACAAGCATAAGTCAGTAAAATAAATACAAGATGTGTGCCTTGGGCTTCAACCAACACACATTTTTACTAGCCAGAGGCAAAAGGGTGAGCTATCACCAGGATACTTCATCTGCTTATTCAAACTCAGGCTGGCTCTCTGCCCTGGGGCTTGGCTAGCCTCCCTGCCAGCTTACCTGGTTTGGGTAACTGAAGGCAGTTTGTGCTTTAGATCAGACCCTTCTCTTTCCTACCCTCTCCTCTCTGGGTCTTTGCTGGGAGGTGCTGAGAGGCAGCCACATTATAGCAGCAAAGGTGTGGAATGGGGAACTTCAGGGGTAGAAACCATGGGCACGGCCAGGGCTGGCTACATCTTAGCTGGGGCGAAAAGAGGAAGCAAAATCTTGGCATCCCTGAGGTCGGGGGAAATGCTATTTATCCCTTACATTTGTAAATATGAGCTGGTTCACAAACCTGCCTAAGCATTGAGCTGTTTTAAAAGACACAGATTCCCAGGACCGTTGAATCAGACCCTCAGCAATCTGTATTTTCAAAAACCTCCCTGAGATGGTCCCCAAATCAGATGGGTCTGAAAAGTATCTATTTATCATACACATTGAATGTTAGAGAGCATTCTTTGACCACACTATTTCATTTTAATCTGACCACTATCTATGGGGTCAGCAGAAGAGAGATGATTCTATTTGCCTGAAGAAGAATTGAGGTCCAGAGAGTGGAAGTGACTTCCTTGAGGCAAACAGCTGTGCCTCAAACCCAGGTCTTCCGGCCTGGAGTGCGGCTCCGATGCTCTCAGAGAGAGATGTGCTTTGGAGTCAGCCAGCCAGGCTCCAACGTAAGCACAGGGCCTGGCACATGTGGACACCCAATAAATCATCTCTCACTTCCTTTGGCTAAAGTCACTCCACGAGAGAGTGGCACGGCCAGGATTTAAAACCTATCCTAGAAGTCCTAGAGCCTCTGGGTTCTTAGCAGCAGAAGCGATGCATCTGGGGCTATCCACGCAGCCGTGGTGGTCGATCCTTGCCACGTGCCCCTCCATCCCTGCCTCCTTGCCCAAGATGTTCCTGGGCCGAGGCCAAGCCCCAGAAGTCAAAGCTGCAGTCTCCGTCTCAGGCTAGCTCCAGACTTGACTTTGCAGCTTTAGTGTCTAGCTCTCTGGAGCCTTTGTCTCTATGGAGACAACGGGGCTCTCACTCTCTGGGACCAGTCTACAGGTCTTTTCTGAGGAAGGAGCTACTGTAGCAGCAGTGGGAGCCCCCTGGGGAGAAAGTGTTGGCTAAGCACACAGTATTATTATCTTCTCAACTCTTTCCTCTTGAGGCTTATCAGACTCCAAACTGGGTGGATGCAGCTCTGTCTGGACCCAAATAGAGCTGTTTCCTTCCAGGCTCCTTAGCATCCATAAAGAGATGAGAAGCACATTTGGTACTGTTTTAGTGACATATTTCAACATCCAGAGTCTCACATCCCTGCTTGAATTCCAGGAACCAGAGGCTGAGAACCGGTTATCCAGACCAAGAACTCTTTGCCTTTTTCCACCAGGAACATGGCAGTGGTATCCCCAAGTTTATAGAAACTGCCAGAAGCCTAGGGATCATGGGCACTTTCCTGGCTTCTCTGGTGGACCCCTTCCATGGGACTGGGGTGGGGGGTGGTGTGTGTGGGGGTGTGGTCTCTTACCTTCAAGTAGTAAGAGACTTATATTCTAGTAGTAAGAGCCTTTCTAGTAGAAAATAGGCCCCAAAGCTGAGAACTTCCATAGAGTTTCCCAGAAATGACACATCATAGAGCATGGACCAGGTGACTGAGGAATCAGATGGAAACCAGCGGGCTGGCCTCCACAGGCCTCCCAGGGAGCCCTTCCCCTCCTGCTCCTTGTGTGATGTTTCCCTGAGACACAGAGAGGCCAAGAGCGGCTCAGGAGGGGGCAGAGGTAGGGGAGCAGCTTTAGAGTGGCTGTGAGCTTACGCCTCCTGAACTCCACCCATGGACCAGCTGCAGGGCCCTCACTCCCTGGGGCCATCAGTCATTGTTTCAGGACCATAGTGGTCACTGGGTGAGTTTTACTTCAAACCTCATTTTTGGAACAAAAAAAGATGATTTGTTCAAAAGGAAGACCTTACTAATAAAAAGTGAAAGGCTCTGTGATTACTTTCAGAGCGGAGAGTGGTGGGGGTGGGGGACACAAATGAACTGACAATGACTATGAACTCTGATGCTATGGTCTGATGTCAGCCTAGGAGGAGCTGTGTCAGTCCCATGAGCCACCATTCTTCACTGTCAATAGGGAAAGGGCTTATGTTGCCAGGGGAAACTTACTTCCCACTAAAAGAAGAAATTCCTGGAATAAACTGTGATGGGAGAAAGAAACGAAGG